GGCTCTGCCATCCAGCCCGTTCTCAACCCACCTCCCTGTGCAAAGGGCCYGGTTAAGCTGCCAGGCTGGTCCAGATTTCTCTCAACAAGTTGGGTCTCTGCCTTGATCTTGGTGAAAGTCCCCTTAGCTTAGACATGGCTGGGCTGTAAGCACGAGGTCTGCAAACATCTGCTYCATTTTTCAAGTCAGCTTTTGTTTCTGTATTTTTTATGGGCATTTTTGAGATTTTGGCCTAGGAAAAGTTTCAAGCAGAAGGATAGAATGAAGAATGAAACTCTTCATGCTGCCTTATTTGCACGTTCACCTTCAAACCAGCAAGCGGTCGCACGTCATCTGGTTCTTACGACTGCCTTCCAGCAGTCTCATTGGGTGATGATCACAAATTCAGATGCATTATTTGCACAAATACAGTATCACATCCAACATGTTCCTTTACTTTTTTCTTTTGCTATATTKTGCGGCTGCTTCCACTGAGTTTGGTCAAAAAAGAAAAGCCAAACAATCARTGCAAAGCAATGAGGGGCTGCCCGAAATCCGGTTCTGTTAGAGCAACGAGTATGTGTTTAATGCTGCAAACACCGTGTTGGGGGGACACGGTTGCTCTCTGRGAAACCCTTGAGGACATAAAGGCCACGGGAGGAGAAGAGCCAGCCAGATAACACGGTGGTCGTGAGCAAATGTGAGCTGGGAATTAGAGCCCTTGAAGAGGCGCAGAGGGGACCTGGATCGCTCCAGGACGGGACCGCGTGGCTCTGGGATCATTGCAGGCTGCAGTGGTGGAAAACTGGACTAAAAATGACCTGCATGGGAAGYGTCTCCTTCACATAGTGGGAGGGCAGTAAGTGGGCTGATAAACTAGGAGATTTTGCCAGCCCAGCACTGTGTGCATGCAGGATAGACCATGTTGCATTTCCCGAAGCAGCTACTACAGCTTCGAAGATTTTTATCCAAATATATCGTCAGCAGCAGCGCCGGCTGAAATCAGGTTGTTTGACACATGAGGTTTCCCTTTTCCCCGATGCTCAATTCCCAACCAAGTGCCAGTAGCTGAAGTTAAAAGCCTGAATTTTCCCAGCAGGGATCGTGCGGCCTCCCCAGGCGTGGGACAGACGTGCGCGGCGCTCCGGGCCGCAGTGACCTCTCCGTGTCCCCGGTTTGACGGATTTGCCGATAATTCAGGCTGGCGTCTCTGCATCTCGGAGCACGTGAGCGTGTCCAGCCAGTGTTGCCCACAGCCCCCTGAGCAGGGATGTTGGTGACCCAGGGTAGCCCCTGTCACCCTGAGCTCCTGACGCAGAAGCACTTGCTGAGATGAACCCAATTTTAACGTGTGTTTTTTCCTTATTTTTTGAGCGTTGGGATCTACATGGGAGAAATTGTAGCAGATGTAGGTTGTTTGTTTGGGTTTTTTCCTTCGTTTTCGTTATGCCTCTGGATGGCTCTTGCCTTGACCTGAAGTCTTCCGCCAACCTCTTAACCCGCACGTTGTTCCCAGATCTGTAAAGGAAGGAGTTGATGGTTCTGGAGACCTTTTTGTGTCCAGTGGCTACAGTTCACCCCAAAAGGGGTAGAAATGAGAGGGACTGAAATGAGGAATGTGGCCAGGATTGGAAGCTGCCCTTTGTATTCCAGAGGCAGTACAAGGGCTTCCTTAGCAATTTCTCTGCGCTAAATTGCACCACAATTTCTATGAGCTAAAATGTGCTGAGAAAAAAGGCCAGAAGGCAGATGCTTATGGTGCTAATTACGAGCCATGGGTGTTGACACTTAGGAAATTGGTTGCTTGGGTTGGATGGTGTCTTCCATGCTGGGATAAAGCCAGGAACTGCAAGAGCTCCCTGGGGCTTTGTGGTGGGAATCTGAGGAGCTCGGGGTTAAGTTGCCCTCCATGACCAGGATGCTCCCAAGGATGCTGCTCCCCGTGTGTTTTTAGCCGCTTCAATCTAATTTCTGAAATTTTCTTTTTGAAAAAATGCATGTTCTGAGTGCGGTGCCCCCAGAGAGATGGACGCTCGGCACTTGGGCTGCGCTTTGCTGCTGAATAAGAGTTCCTCTACAACAGCCTGTAGCCAGCTAAGGGGGTAATTGCACAAGCTCCTAGAATGTATTTTATTTATTTATTTATAAAACAAATATGTTTGTTTGTTTTTGACTTGGCTTAGGTTCCAAGCTTTCTGTTCCCAGTCTAGCTCTGGGACAGCCCAATGACTTCTCTCCCTACGCAGCGACTCTCTCTATAATTATCAACCAACTCTGCAGCATAGCGAGGAGCACCTTTTATCCTAATTATGCAAACAACTTAATTGTCCTCCTGCACCGACAGTGATGGAAATGGTTGTGAAAGCGAGAGCGTGGGTTCCCATCCCCGCTTTGCGCGGCGCCGGGGAAGGGGCCAGGTGCTTCCTTGTGCTCCCACTTCACGCCGCCGGCGAGCTCATTAATTTGCCATTCCAGCTGCTTGAGAGGGAAGAGGCCGCGGGTCCCTGTCACCAAAAAGCAGCTGTGATTGATAGTTCGGGGGCAGGAGGGGGGAGATAGTCCGGAATTCGTTACGCGCGCGTCCGCGGCGAGCAGCGCCTACAAAAGAGCCTTGTTCCTCCCTGGAGGAATGCAGGAATTGATGGTTTAACCTCCTTTCTCTGCGGACACCTGCTCGGCCGCGCGGCGCGGGAACAATGCGCTCAGTGTGCGGCCTTTGTGCGCGGCCGCGGCGGACGGGCGGCCAGCGAGCCCTGCCCCGCGCCGGCCACCGCTGCCGCCTCGCGCCGAGGTGCCCGCAGGAGGGGTGCGCAGAGCCCCGCTAACTGCCCGTCTCACAGAGYCYCAGGATGGCTGAGGTTGGAAGGGACCCCCAGGGCTCCCCCAGCGCAGCCCCTGCTCCAGCAGGGACACCCAGAGCRCGGGGCACCCGGGCGCATCCCGGCGCGCTGGCAGATCTGCAGAGCAGGAGCCTCCGCAGCCTCCCTGGGCAGCCTGGGCCAGGGCTCGGGCACCCTCCCACCAAACAAGTTCTTCCTCACGGCCACATGGAGCTGCCTGCGCTGCAACCTGCACCCACTGCCCCTTGGCCTGCCCCTGGCCACCACCCACCAGAGCTTGCMCCTTCCTCCCTCCATCCTCCCCTCGGCTCCTTGGACACACTCACCAGCTCCCCTCTCAGCCTTCTCTTCTCCACGCTCAGCAGGCCCCGCTCGCTCGGGCTCTCCTCACTCCTCAGGACTCGTGCAGACCTTGGCTTTGCAATGGGAAGAGCTCAGACATTCCCCAGCGCGGGAGCCGCGGCTGGCGGGACACCTGAGTGTGGGTCCCCAGCAAACCCCGGGAGCTGTTTGAGCCCTGCTGGTCTGCGCTCAGTTGTCTAMAGGGAGACACAATTGGGCTCAGAGACCTCTCCGCTATTTTCATTTCTTATTGCAGCGTTTGCTCCGTGTAGTTTTATGGTGCTCAGCACAAGTGAGCAGCTGCAAAGTGCTGCGTAGAGAAGTAGCTTAAAATACACAGCAGAGTCTTAATGATTTTGCTCTTTCCCCTTTTAAAATTGCCCCAAATGTTTAGCTTTCTGGGCTTATTTTTTAATGAACTTTCACATTTGTGATACAGTGTCAAATGATGCCAAGTTTACCCGTTTTCAGAGACAGCCACATTTTCATTCGCAGCTTCTCGCTGGAGASAGACCTACTCCTGCAGTGCCATTTTTAAAAGAAATCTCATGGCTGTTCTTGCCATGTCTCCATTTCCAAGCTGTGCTTAAACGTTATCCCAATTGACAGGACTTACTCCAGACCTCAGTATTCAGGGAATTGTGGTACTGTCGTAGATGAAAGCGGATAAATTAACAGATGTTCTTGGAAAAACATTTGTGTTGGCGGAAAGCGGCACGGGAAGTTGGGTTAATTCAGGTGAAATTAAAATTTCACGTCTCAAATACATCCAAGCGCGACCGACTCTGGAATATGTCGCTGTTGGAAATTGTGCTTTTTCCTCTCCTATAATATCCAAGCAGGACAGGAAAAGGGAAAATCTCCCGGATCTTCCCGGCGCGGACGCGAGGCCGGAGCCGAGTGCAGGGGCTGGTGCTGGCCAGGACCTTCCAGCGCCTCACGCTGGGCACGGCAGAGCTGCCAACCCCTGGCGAGTGGATGTGGAGCCTTCGCATGTGAATTCCCACTATTTGCAGTTTTATACTCCTGGGAGAGTAGCTCCAAGTTGGGCTTTCCTTGCRTTAATTATTACTAATATTTTTATTAGTAATGCCATGCAGTTCACAAGTAAACGTCATTTAGAGCCGTCGGTCACTGCAGTTCTAACAGKAGTGATTCTGCTGTGTCAAATGGATCGTTTTGTGCAGACTTTCTCCCCAGAAAAGTGTGCAGTGATGTTTCATAGCGAGCTWTGCCAGAGCACAGTGTGGTTTTCCTTTCACCTGAAGGCATTTTTTTGCATTTCTTCACTTTTCTTTTCACCTGGGCTCGTTTTTAACACCCTTGACCACCTTGTTTCTTGGTGCTGTCTGGGAGGTGTGTGGGGATCACCTGCCCCTTTGGTCTTGGATCTTCTCCTCCATGGATCGCRCGTAAACAGGATCCTGGAGGCGACAACCTCGGCACAACACAACTCGACCAACCTCCGTGTGCTGTCATCTCGCACTGCTGCCCTTGCAGCCTTCTGGCTTCTTCCCTGCCCTTCCCAGCGTCGCACCTGGATTTATGTAGGTTAATTCTGGCAAAGAAATGAGGCTGTGCGAGTCGCAGCCCAGAAATTACTTTGTGATTATTCAGGGCCTAAACAAAAGGGCAGAAATCCCAACAGAGGCCGAGACCTCCCGGCAGCCGGACCTTTTGTTTCCTCCGGCCCGTCGCGCTCTCGAGAGCTGCGAGACAAAGGGAGCCTGTTGGGGCTGAGGTGGGAACAGTGGTTTTAAATGAGCTAATAAGAGCAGTAGGGAGCCACCATGGGGTTGCGTGATGTTGTTCAGCTTTGTCTCTCTTTCCCCTCTCCAGGTCACCCAGACGAGCCGCCCGGATTTGATTCTCTTCCTCATGAAGTATCTGATGGCTCTGGTCGTCGGGATCCCCTCCGTGTTCTGGGTTGGCAGCAAGAAGACCTGTTTTGAGTGGGCCAGCTTCTTCCACGGCCGCCGGAAAAAGGAGTGAGTATCCATAGGCATCTGCCCGTTAGTTGGACACTGGCAATAAACTTGGCTTCCCTCACGGAGCGGGGAGTTGTTCAKCTTTGGAGGAACAGGGAGGCAGAGGCAGGAGCAGCTTCCCTGGAAATGTGCTTTCCCAAGTGGAGCAAGGGAGGGAAGGATGCCCGCAGCTCCTGCAAAGCCCCGAGAGGCTGTCACGTATTTACCRCAGTTACTTGCACTTTCTGCTTGCAAGTGGCTGTGTTTATCCCTTGAAGAATTTGGGTTCTGTTGATTACTACCAATTTGCGGCCGTTTGCTGGAAGGTGGGACTGGGAGCGCTCACTGGCAAAGCTGCCTCTCTAGCCAACCTAGTTGGGTCTTTTCATGGAAATTAAACACAACTTTTTTAGCCCCGATTGCAGCTAAAAGCACCTCTGGTGCTTTAATCTTTCCCATATAGGCTGTGCATTTGTATCAAAGCACAGCTGGATGAAGTGGCGGTGGGAGTGACGTCTGGCTTAAGGTTGGAGCTTCGTTTAGGCTAACACAATGCTAGAAATGCAGAGGAAAAAGTTTCCAATTGTGTAACAATTATGGATAACTGCTTCCAGAAGCAAAAATGCTGTCCCGTGAGCTGCTCTTTCTAAACCAACCCACAAATACAGCCAGTGTTCAAGTAGCTGCTTCGCCTCATCTTCCCTAAGCCAAAGCCAGCGGCCTTYGGCAGAGCCGCAGCAAACGGATCTGTGCTCGGGAGAAACCCCAGCAACATCCCCCCTCCCAATTAACACAGTGATTAATACGATTTTAGCAACACGTATGGGCACTTCAGTAGGAGTCACCCAGGGCTGATGTGATAGTTTGGGGGCAGGAGACAAGGAGACAAGGGGGGCAGAGGAAGCTGCTTCGCTGCAGAGCTGCCTGTAATAGTTGAGCGCTCCGCATGCAAGATCCGGGGCGCTCGGAGGGTTGTTCCGGGGGGCCCTTCGTGCTCGTCCGCCGGGACCACGTTTTGTGTTGACCGTTGGCGTCTCCTGCCTCGCCAGAGCTGTCAACGAGAGCCGGCAGGTGCTGCAGGAGCCGGATTTCGCGCAGTCGCTGCTGCGGGACCCCAACACGCCCATCCTGCGCAAGTCGCGGGGCACGTCCACGCAGGGCACGTCCACGCACGCCTCCTCCACGCAGCTCGCCGTCATGGACGAGCAGCGCAGCAAGGCGGGCAGCGTGCACAGCAAAGTGAGCAGCTACCACGGCAGCCTGCACCGCTCGCGCGACGGCCGGTGCGTTCCGCTCTCTTCCCGCATCCTGCGCGCGAGCCGGGGGGGACGTCGGCGCGTTGGCACCTTCCTTTTTTAATATCTTTGTCTGTTTACAAGCGGATTTCGGTAAACAGGCACAGCCCTACTGAGGTAAACAATAAGAAAAGGTGCCTGCTCTAACTTGGGGGGTAATTAAGGGTTTATCATCAGGTATTTGCTCGCCTAATTAGTGACAGCGTGTGCAGAGCTGGGGTAAGAGCCACATAAAGGGGTGACACCATTTGCCTGAGGCCACCTGGGCTAAACGGATGAGCAGCTTTTCTCCTAAAAGCAGAGGGGTGGTGTGTGCACCGAGATGCATTTGCATTCTTTGATGGTAATAATAATGATGATGATGATGATGATGGTGGTGTCTTTGTGCCGCTCAGCTACACGCCGTGCAGCTACCGCGGCGCGGAGGAGAGGCTCCCGCACGGCAGCATGTCCCGCCTCACCGATCACTCCCGCCACAGCAGCTGCCACCGCCTCAACGAGCAGTCGCGGCCCGGCAGCAGCCGCGAGCTGAGCACCAACCCGCTGGGCCACGGCCCGCACGGCGCCGCCAGCATGAACCGCGTCATCGAGGAGGACGGCACGAGCGCCTGAGCCGCCGCCGCCGCGCCCAGAACGCCRCTCGCCTCCTGGGGACCTTGCAGGAGGCCATTATTTATTTGGTAACTGCTGCTCTCCTGCCAAACGCTGAGTTTCTGCTCCTTGGCTGAGGGAAACGTTTCCCTCCTTCCAAGGTGTCTGCGTGGGGGCAAGAGATGCCCTTGGGAGTGGCCCAAGGAGGCGGGAGGAGACTCYGCGGAGGAGGGAATTCTGCCTGGTCTCCGTGTGTCTCCGAGACCACGACCCGGTGCCGGCCCGCGGGAAGCGCAGCAGGCGGGCGGCCCGTTGAGCGCTGCCGAAGCCGCCGGCATCTCCAACCCCTTACACTGGAAAGGCACCAAGGCCCGAGCCCTTGGTGGGAGGAGGAGGAGGCTCCGCTGCTGCTCCGTCCGTGCTCTGCTGCGGGGTAGGGTGGGAAGGGGGGACACGGCGAGGCAGGGAGGGCCGTTTTTGTATAACCTGCCCTTGCTTTTTTTACAGAATGCTATTTAAATTTTCTACTTGTTTACAGTTTGTGTAGGGAGGGACGGACAGTTCTCTAGATAATGTCCAGCCACTTATTTTTAGATCCGTGTACAGAAGCTGAGATTGCCTGTTCCTGGTCTGTTTAAAAAAAAAAAAAAAAAAAAGAAAAAGAGAAAAACGGAATTTGTCACCCAAACGGCCGCGTGCAGCCTCTTCCTTACAAATGGAATGAATCCTCTTCAGCCCCTGGGCCAATGTGGGATTTAACTGGAGCCATCCCATCTTCCTTGCAAAATTACAGTGAGGGCTCCCTTTCCATGGAGCACACAGGGAGCGGGCCGTTAGAAAAGGGTGGAAAAAAATCCCACCTGGAGCTCTTTATGTCCTTTTTTTTTTTTTTTTTTTCCATGCCCAGCTGAAGGTTCAGAGGGGAGAAGTCTCCGTGCTCAGTTTGGGGTAACTTGTGTGTAAATAACCTAGGGCGTGTGGAGCCGTTGCTGCYGCTGCGGGAGGCAGCACCCGCCGTGGAGGTTCATTCACTGCACSGAGATTCCGACCACATTTAAAGCTACCTCAGTAATTCCTCCAGATCATTGCTGGGAAAGGCTCTTTTTTCCCCCCTGTCCTTCCGTAATTCCCTGTGGTGTCTTTTCTTTCAACTGCAGTGACGGTTCCACTTGCTAAGAGTCGGGGAGGAGACTGATGCAGGTGTTAAAGGTCCCTCATTTGGCATTTGTCAGTCCGCGAGGTTGAATCCTCCCGCGTTTGGGGTGTTTCCAGCTGAGTTTGTCCAAACTCATCCCCATTCCGGCCTTGTCTGCGGTGGGAGGACGCCCAGCACTCCTGGCACCCCAGAGAGCTGCCTGAGCTGTAGAGAGCCRCTGCGCTCGCCTGTTCCTCAGCTCCCGAGAGCTCCGTGTTTTCCTGCACCTGGAATTTGCTGCCGAGGCTGCAGCTCCTGCCGCAGGATTCATGTTCTGCCCCGTTCCYGCTTGGCAGCAGGACACAGCCCCGTGACGGGGCCTGGGCTGTTCATTTTGCCTGTCGGGAACGCGCTGCAGGTCCCGGCTGCGGCGATGCCGGCCCGTGGGAGCGGAGCGGAGCGGCGGCCGCGGCCCTCTCTGGTCACCATCGCAGTAGCGCCCTGTCGGGTTTGTAACGTTTGGATCTTTAGCACTTTACCCGTGAGTGTGCAAGGGAGCCTGGCGTAGCGGGTGTACGTTTTAGCTTTAGCCCTTGGAAAGTTTCTAATAAAACGGTGGGGAAAAAAAAAAGGCCGTGTCCTTTTCACTCCCGGGCGCCCTTGCTGAATGGCAGGGTAGCTTAGTCACCTCCCTGAGGTGACGAGGTGGCCTCCCCGAGGGTGCTGGGGTCCCAGCTGCCACCACGGAATGGTTGGGACTCCCAGCGGGGGAGGATTTCGGGTCTTGGCACCCACGGGGGAAGTCGGATCTGTCCCGGGCTCCCATCCTTCCTGCTCTTCCCGCACAGCATTTCCAGCAGCGCCGATGGCAGCAGGGAGCTGCTGAGTGTGACTGGAACMCACCTGGAGAAGAGAAGGAGCCCGAGCAGCCTCCGGGGATCGAGTGTCCTGCTTAGAGCGTCGGCCTCGTCCCCGCCATCTGCCGCGGGGCTGGGCAGKGTGTGCGGAGCAATAGTGCCACCCCGTGCGGCAACACTGCCGGCACTGCGGCCCCAGGGTGGATGCCAGGATGGATCCCAGCATGGCGGAGCCTGGATGGCAACGTGTGGGAAGCCCCTGGGCTGCAGGAGAAAGGGGGYCCCATTGCACCCTGGTGCTTGTATCCCGTACAGCCCAACTTGCCCGCAGGAGGGAAGAAGCCAGGACATCCTGTTGCCATCGGGCAGAGCCACCTTCCCCTGCTGCAGCGGGAATGGCTAATCCTTTGGGAATAGCGTCCATAAGGCTCTTAGCTGCCTGTGCTGCGACGTGCTGGCTGATGAGTTGGTTAAAACCCAAGAGAAGGGGTTAGATTCCCCTCTGGAGCRGGGAGTGCTGCTCCTGCAGCACCACCGGTGCCAGACAGTCCCTGTGTCCCTGCATGGGCCTGGGCGATGCTGGGACATCCCAGGCCCTGCAGGAGCCCACCTTGCTGCCTGGCACTGCCTTCCCCACAGGGGATGTGGTGACCAACACTCCCCAAGTCACAGGATCCCAGGGTGGTTGGGGTTGGAAGGGACCCCCAGGGCTCCCCCAGCGCAGCCCCTGCTCCAGCAGGGACACCCAGAGCACGGGGCACCCGGGCGCATCCCGGCGCGCTGGCAGATCTGCAGAGCAGGAGCCTCCGCAGCCTCCCTGGGCAGCCTGGGCCAGGGCTCGGGCACCCTCCCACCAAACAAGTTCTTCCTCACGGCCACATGGAGCTGCCTGCGCTGCAACCTGCACCCACTGCCCCTTGTCACCTCCTGGCGGCCGCGCTCAGTCTCCAGCCAGGCTGCTCCGGGCGCAGGGAGCATCCAGCCGCCTCTGGCTGCCCCAGCTCCGGCCGTCMCGCGTGGGGATGTCCTGGTGCTGAGGATCGGACCCCCCTGTGGTTTCACACTGGTGGTTGTTGCTTCCAAGCAGAAAACGGGCAGTTTGCAAAGCCGGAGCTCCACACGGCAGCTGCCGTTCATCCTGATTATTTATCCCAGCTCTTCCAGCAGAATCTGGGAACGCGACGTCTCCTGCTGGAGAGGAAGACTCATTAACGTGGAGCCGAGCTCCCTCCAGCCGGATGTAACATAGAGACTAACGTATATATAACGTATATATAAACATAAGCACTGGCGATAGGTGGCGAGTGCAGGATCCTTGTGTCACCTGGTCAGTGGTTGGTGGCCAGTGCTGGGTCCCTGCGTCATCCAGTCTGTGGTGGGTGCCAGGTCCCTGTCACCYAGTCAGTAGAGAGTCCCTGTCACGCTGGGGTGGCAGGTCCCCATCGTCCAGTGGGTGTCAGGTTGGTGGCGGGTCCCTGTGTCACTCAGTTGGTGCCAGGTCCCTGTGTCACCCAGTCTGTGGTGTGTGCCAGGTCCCTGTCACCCGGTCGGTTGCGGGTCCCTGTCATGCAGTGGGTGGCAGGGCCCATTGTCCGGTGGTTGTCAGGTTGGTGGCGGGTCCCTGTGTCGCCTGGTTGGTGGTGGGTACCAGGTCCCTGTCACCCAGTCAGTAGAGGGGCCCTGTTGCCTGGTGGGTGCTGGGTCAGTGGGGGGTCTCTGTCCCTGTCACCCAGTGGGTGTCGGATGCAGGGTCCCTGTGTGGCCTGGTGAGTGGCGGGTCCCTRTTTCTGCTGCCCAGTGGGTGGCAGGTCCCTGTCCCTGTATGGGCCGGTGGGTAGTGCRTATTGGGTCCTTGTCCCTGTCCCCTGGTGTGTGGCAAGTCCCTGTCCCTGCTGCCCAGTCCATGGTGGGTCCCTGTCCCTGCTCCAGGTCTGTGGTGGGTTCCTGTCCCCCGGTGGGTGGTGGGTCCCTGTCCCTGTT